TTGTTATCTCACCTAATTGTAAGGTGCACAAAGGAAAATTTGTGCAAGCTTGTTTTGTAAACTTTGTATTCTGCTATATTATTAGTTTTTATATTATGAAATTGCCATAGAGGAAGAAAATGAGTAATACCGACACCAAGGTTCAAGCATGACACTCTGGACTTATGAATATATGTCTTCTGCCATGTATATAAATAGCAGTGTTAGGCTACTGACTGGAGGTGGTTACTGAATGATTATTTAGTGACTGTTGAATGGAACTATCGAGTCGAATTAGCGTGAATTATTGTGCGTCAATGATTTGGGTTTTGATTTAGGATTTACCGGACGTTAAGCTGAGCTGCGCTGCTAACAAGGTATTCACTGAAATAGCTAATTATCTTTGTTATTATTAAGTATTTATTTGCAGTTGTAATTAAATACTGTTTTATTTAACATTGAAGTCTTGAGTTATACTTAATTATTAATAATGGCCACTGTACAACACAAAAGTAATAAATGTTTGTTTCTTTCAATTTCCCCATTGGAGTATGATTCTTGTTTGTTTTTGTTTGTGCCTTTCATGGATTAATAGATGCGATTTTTTCTCTTCTCCACTCCCCAATAAAATTCCTATAAGACATTGCAAAAAAACAAACAAAAAAAAACAAAATAACAAACAAAATGTTCTGGAATGAAAAGTAATCAAAATATATATTTCTTTTTAGTCAGTAAAAATGAGATCTTTTCAAAGAATGTTCATGTTAGCAAAGTCTTTAAAGTTATTTTCTTTTGTCTTTGGAGTAGAAGTAAGACAACATCAAAAGAATAATCTATTCCAGGTCAGCTAGTCAATGAGCTATGATAGTTGGTAAAAGTCTGCATTGACTTTATACCAAGGTTCATATAGCCAACTATATTGTCATTGTATGGGGTAACATCATTAAGTGGCTGTAATGTGACCCACGTGACTTATCTCCACCAAAGAGAGATAAGCACCTGCTGTATCCTTACACTGGGATCAGGGTTAGCTTCCTAATTCCTATGTTTTGATATGATGGGGAAAAGTTTTTTATTATCAAAACCAAATGTTTACTTCACTGCCTCAAAGTAGCAATAATTGAGACACTTATAAAAACTTAAAATTATGCTTTCAAGAACAAGATTTATAATAAACACAACATTTTATGCAACAATTTAAAAGAGATTACAAGGAAAGTAAAAAGTCATTTTGCATGTAGAGTTTATAAGTGACTTACGGCATACATTGAAAGTTCTTTCATTGAGTAGCATGTGTTATATTCATTGAGCAGCATGTGTTATATTCATTGAGCAGCTGTGTGTGTAACTTCTGACCAGCTGAAAGGACCACTGTTAAGACATCTGTCAAGATAACACTTGGTCTGTTTGTGGAAGTTAACAAGGTTGTGGGTTTTGTGTGTATTTTTAGGAAACAGTTTGTGTTCAATATATAAACAAAGAAGATAGGAGAAGCATGAAAAACACTTATTTCTGTTACAGACATTTATTCCTTTTATATTGAGTGTATTGAAACAAAGTTAAAAAAAAGTCTCTTGAATATGTCAGTTCCCTTTTGGTTCTATGGTGATTTATGGGAAGTAAGGATACAAACAGGTAAACATGGTCGAGCTTAAGTTAGCTGATTTGGGAAGCCCAAACATCTACTTCATGAGTTGGGCTGCTAAAACACATCTGATGATGTCATTGGCAAATAGAAAAAGTGCATCCATCAGTGGACCAGGGAAACTAATATTCCCCAGTGACAACGCTATTACTATGTCGTTCACATCTTGAAGCCAATAGGAGAAAGTGAAAAATTCTGTTTTTTCCAAAAGTCGGATCATAAAACCATACACATGACCAGAAACCCTTTCCAGTTTCTTTATAACTTGCATCATGGGAAAATGAATTTATTTATTTATTCATTATTGTTATTATTTTATTTATTGGTTTTGTTTCATTTTCTCACATGTTTTATATCAGACTGGTTGTCAAGGCAGGCTAGAACTTTTTGTGCATGTGCATGTCGGAATTTGTCTACCCAGGTTTTTGTTGATATCTGAGTGTTGTGATACCAAACATTTAACAACATCAACAACAACAACACATCTTTGAAATGAAATATAAAGAAAAGTTATTCTCTGAGTAGTAAAAGTAAAAGCAGACCGTCAGTTAAAATAACATTATATTCTTCTCAGAAATATGCAATAACAACAAAGAGTAAAAAGAAAATGTTCAGTTTTTTAGCAGTGAAGAAAATAAGTTTGTTTTATAAAGTAATTAGTAAGTGTTCATAGTGTGGTTTGAGATGTATGGACAGACTTACTTAATGATCGTCAGCCTGATGTATCTGTGTGTGCATAGGCAAGGCCTTAGTTGGAGAATGCTAGCTTATAAAAGTAAGTTCTTAGAGAAAAAAAGTAGTGGACATTATATTAGCTGTGTCTTCTGCTGTCTCTTCTCTTGTAAGTGTCCTTGTGTGGGTCTGTGGGAGTGTACATGTGTGGATCAGACTGGCCTTCAAAATTGTTTTGAACCCTGAGAAGCAGTATGCTTCTATGCTTCTATTTTTATATCTATAAAAGGGATCCCAAATCCAGTTTCACATAGAGACGTGATTTTTTTGCAACTGCAAGGTTTTCATTGATTAGAAAATAATTTCATGCTGACTTGCAAAAGTCTTTTTCTCAAATGTGCAGGAGTGGTAAAAGGGAGTTATTATTATCTTCTAAATGGTCCAAAAATAACACATGATATGTCTACAATTACGTCTGCCAAATGTTTTGGCTGTACCTGCCCTAGTAATTATTGTTTATCAAACAAACCTTCTGATTTATTTATGGGATTTTATTAGTTGAATATATATATATATATATATATATATATAGAGAGAGAGAGAGAGAGAGAGGGAGAGAATTTGATTCTTATAGGCAATCACTGTCTGTATGTAGGTGGTCTGCATGGGTGTTTTATTGTTTCTATGAGATATTGCTGCTTGTGAGTTACGATGATTGTAAAAAAATGGTATGATTCAAGTGTATGCTATTTAATGAAGCTTTATTTTGTTAAATTAGGGATAATGTCCCTACATTTTTAATAGCTTACTCTATATTATATATTGTTTTGATAAATCATTTTGTTAAAATAGTTGACATATTTTATATTTTACCAATATCAACTTGTGAGATTATTAATTCTTTATTTGCTCCAAAACAAGAATTAAATACCATGCTAAATTAAATTGCAATAAATAAATAAAGATACTGTATTTCTATTGTGGTATAGGGTATTCTTGTCGGATGGTGACCAGTGTGGATAAGTGGTATGTGAGAGTATTCTTTGGTGAATAAAATTAACTGACAAGGGTTTAAAATAAATAATGTATTTTCTTTAGAGTGATGAATGAGTCCTTTGGTATTTAGTGTAGCAAAAAGTTTGTTAATAAGGCAGATATTGGTAGCAGTCTGTAGAAATGTCTGTTTTAGCCATGTAATTGAGAGTTTGGGAAGTCAGCATTTGATAGTAGTCATAGTCATCTTTAAAATAGGTCAGTGTAAATCTACTGTGTTTTTCTCAGCCCTAAGCAGGGCAGAAACATCATTAGCAGATGACCTCTTAACTACTTCTTCACTCATCATGCATGGCTCGTTTTGTTGCAGTAGCGTCTCTGTTTGTCACTCTCCTTGTCCCTCCTACTTCTCTATCACAGAGATGTCAGCATATATGCTTTTGACCAGGCTCCAAGATTCTGGTGCAAACATTGGTTTCGGCTAATATCAAAAGTCTCTCTGTGTTAATTTTTTGATTGGCCAAAATTATTTTCCAGCATTCCTTTCTTTTTCATTTTTTTTTTATACTGAAAGTTATGCATGGAGCCTCCATAACTTTTGATATTTTTCAGTCACAAATAAGTAAGCTCTGCTTCTGCAAACTTCCAGTGTTTTTGGCCAGGTTCAGTCTTTTCTTCTTCCACTTTTTATTTGATGCTTGCATTCTCATTAGTTGAGAGAAGTATAGAAAGAGTAGTTCAGAGAGAGAGAGAGGAGGGGAGAAGGATTTTAAAGGAAAGTGCAAATGCTTCATTTTAATTTCAATTCTTTTTATATTTTATTTTTATCAGGACTCACTATACGATCTAGCATGAATGTCAAAAAGCAACATGATATAAGACAATTTTCTTAAAATTAAATGAACTTCTTTATTTCATTAAAATATTTTTCATAATTTTCTATTTCATTTTATCCACTTTGTTAAAAGTGGAGCTGAGTAAATGAAATATTCTAATATAATTATGAAGTTACTTCAGTTGAAGCAATATCATCTAAATTTATTTATCACTGATTTAGAAATTTTATATATTTTAAACCAGCACATATTAAAACAATATCTTAATGCTACTATGATAATTATTAGTCATTTTCTATATTATTCTTACACAAACATGTACATTTTTTTCCATATGCAAGTACTAATATTCAATTGGAGAACATGAAAAAAGGACAAAGCTTTATTAAGATTTTGATAAAAATGTCTTTCACGTTACCTTGTAAATAAAATATATTATCATTAATTATGACAAGTGATGAATTTATTTAAAATATCTAAAATAGATTTTTAGATTTCTTTTTCTCTTTCTTCACAGCTTTCTAAAAAAAGAGGAAATTTATTTGTTTTCTTAATTTGCAACTCAACCGATTAGTTCCCCTGATAATTATGGCTCTCCCAGATGGCAGTAGTTGGTGTCACTGCTTTTAAAAGGAAATATGATGTTATCATTTGAAACAAAGGCAGACCCAAATCAAGCATAAACTGTATAAAAGTTTGTGCTTTGGAAATGAAATGTATAAATAACCCAAGTTGTTTTTTTTTTAATTCTATTTTGTCTTCCAAACGATTTTGTATTAATAAAATATAAGAAAAAGTTATTTTCTTTTCGTCAGAATTCGATTCTAGATGCACCCGTAAGGGGGAGATAATCAACGAGTTTATTTTCATCAACAATGGCCTCTAATAAGTCAATAGAGGAACCGTCGCTTTCCACTGCAATGGAAACAGAGCGGAGTGAATGTGGGGCTAAAAACAACGAATCGATACCCGCTTCACAGATGAAAAAGGTTCGTTTCTTATTCAACGTTTTTATTTATATCACACAACGCACCCGAACATCCATTGGCCATCGTTTGCCTATGGAGATTTTTAGTTGCTCTTCATCTTTTTATTGTTCTTATTTGGATCGAAAAGCAACAAAACATTTTTATTATTGCAAATTACATATTAAATTCTACCTTTCCTTATTTGCTACATATTTTATTGTGGCTTTTCTTTATTATTATTCTGTTGTTTAAAGCTGCAAAGCTTAAAGAATTCAAATTTGCTGATTTATTTAGCTGGTGAATCTTTACAGACTTGTCTTTCCTTGTGTGCTAGTTTGCAAAAGTCTTTTTTTCCAGCTTATGATTTTGTTTTGAAAAAAAGATTTTATAGATCCACAAGACACCACGCCCAGTTTCCCTTACTTTCAAAACTTGTGTTTATTTCATATATCCTTTGAAAAACATTCTACAGTATAAAAAGTGAATATTATTGTGTCTGTTTCGACCCGGTTGTCAAGCCACAATTGAGTGCCAATAATAATAATGTCGTAAACTGACGAAAAAAAAAAGTCTGAAGCCCAACAATAATTTCGCTTGATTTACCATGAAAACTTTGTTAAAAAAAACTGCTTCAAATTTCCCTCTGAAAATAGTCAGTGTGCAAAGCAATCGTTACACTCTGTTGTTGTTACCAATCGGTAAGAAGAAAAAGAAGAAGAAGAAGAAATCAACTGCAAGAAGAAAAAGGGGCGAAAAGACGATGATTTCTAAATTTAAAAAGAAAGGACATACCGGCGACATTAAGAGGAGGGGGAGGGTTGATCAATGTAATCAAAAGAAAAATAAATTTCATATCTGACTCTCAATAAATAAGTAACAACAAATCAATTAATAATGATAGTTTTCAAAAAGCAATAATCGATTCTTACAATTAAAAGTTCATTGCTTGAAATTTTCAAATTGAAATTTATTATTTTATTTACGGATTTATGTTTTTTTATTTTATTTATTTAATTTGCAAAATTATTTAATGATGGATAAAAAAATAAAATGTGACTTTGTTCTTGCAATTATAGTATCTGTCAGTTTTTATTTCAAAATAAACTCAAATATTTAATGAATTAAACAATAATACTGACGATTTTTTTTTACCTTTAAGTTTTTTTAATTGTTTATGTTTTGCAAAGAAAATGTATTTTTTATTTGTTTAGTTTATGTCATAGAAGATTTTTTATAACATTGTAGTATTTTATTCAGATCCACAAAAATGATAAACAAAAGAATTCGATCAAATTCTCTGTACACACATTTCAATTAACGAAAATATTGTAATTAATAAAGAGATACCATATTTAATTTAAGAAATACTTAACTTAGCAATTGTAAATTTTACCAAATTTTCACTAGAAAGATCAATAGGTAAAAATGGAAAAAAGAAAAATCCACCCTTTTGGAAAATACATCATTGTTTTTTAAAATGACCTTTATTAAAATTTAACCCTTGAAGACTAAAAGTTAAAAAATGAACCAGTTTTAAAAAATACGATTTTTTTTAATCGTTTTGCTCTTTTTTTTTTTCTTCTTTTTTTCCAAATTCGGTTTACGCTGTTTTACTCTGAACTCAAGGCCCCGTTTTAAACAAATAATATGTTTGTTTTACAAATGAACATTAAGAACTTTTTATTTAACACCTGTCTGTTGTAAGTTGTGGGGAAACTTAGATGCCTTTTTTCAACACAATGTATGTGTCGACAAGCCATGAAATAAGGAAAATGCGGGTCTTGTAATAAGTCATCGCTGTAATGATGCCAATTCAAGAAAGGTTTGTCAAAGAAGTAGTTTTTTTATCTAGTTATTATTTTCAATAGACTGTATTGTTATTGTAGATAGTTTATTGAATCTCACTGATCAAAATTAGAAAACTAAAGAGTATTAGATCTTATCTGTAAAATTCAAACATTGATCCAGCGCAATACTTTGCTGCTTTTAAATATAAAATGATCGAAGCTAAACTTTTAAAAATTATGTAAATTTTCAAACAAAAACATTCTAGTTTCTTCAGATTTTAAGAAACTCAAACTGGTTTCATTATGTATGCTTTAAGTTTATAATCTTATTTAAATATACCGTATGGTTAGTTGTATCTGTCAGTTTTCAATTTTGTTTGATACTTTTGAAAGGTAAGTTCATAACGGACAATATATGGTTTTGTCAGGTAATTCTATTACAACCATTCCAATGACACTTCAGTAATGACAACTTCAAAAAGTTCTCAACTATACATCGCAGTAGCAATGTCTAAAATAAGTACTTTGAATGGTGGAATGTTTTTCAAATGGATTTGTGACTAGATCCTTGTTCTTCTGGTTTATGAAAGAAAATTTTATATGATAATGCCCAGTTCATTCACTAGCAGAAATTGCACTTGAAGCAGTAATGGCTTTGTGGTTTGATTCTGAAAAAATGTTTCTCAGTGAGGATATATCTATATCCAGTGTCTTGGATGGGCAAAATATCCAGAGAACCATTAACTTAAGATTTTACAGCAGATAGTTACAAATGCAATGACCACATATTGTATACCATTTTTAAACTCATACTTCATATTAATGGTATCTAAGCAAAGTCTTTGAATCTAAAGACCTGATATTTAATTGCAATGGAGCATGTTGATTTTTTTTCCATTAAAATTAATTTTATTCTGTTTCCCAATACTGAGCTTTAAACATCATGCTACATGTTTCAATGCATTAATTACTTTGAAATCTACCTTGATAAATTTGAAGTTGAAAAAGTACAGAAACATTTTATTTGTGATGTAATTTGGTATAATTTAATAAGTTTATAAACATGTATAAGAACAATGCCAGTGTGTACATACTAATTTTCTAATCTATTATCGACAAAAAAAATAAATGTTTAATAAATTTTGTCAATTCTGAATATCCTTCAGTTTATTTTGATCATCTTAATAGGAAATTTGTAGAAATAGCATCCTTAAAGGTAATGTACTCTCCTTGAATGTCTCTCTGATTTACTATTTGCTAAAATTGAATTTTTAAGATACTCAATAAGAATCTTATATTCTTAAAATACTACTGAGGAAAAAAACAATCCTTTAAACAATGTAATTATTATTTTTTGTTTTTTTAATTATTTATTTCTGAGATAAATCATGATAAATTTTTCAAGAGATACACTTTAAAAAAGAAACTATCTTTAAAGTATCATTTGAAATTTATTTTACTTGATAGAAATGTAGTACACTGACATGCCAAAAGTTATGGGATGGCAGTATTTCAAGGTATTGGAAGATGGCACCACTGTGCCTTCACATGATGGAAATGGCCCAACCTGTATCACTTGTGTTCTGACATTGGTGAGCCATTGGGAATACTAACTAGTCTGCTCATGGCACCATGATAGAAGTTATCAGAGCCTGAATGGGGGTATGATTTCCATTTCTGAAATTCTGAGAATATTTGACATCCCTCTATCTACAGTATCACCTGTGTACTGGGAATGCCTGATGGAAGACATTACTTCTCACTATGGACAATGCATTGGCTGATCACAGGTCCTTTACATGTTAGCTCCTACACAATCCACAAGAGGGTTGTAGTGGTATGTCTGTAAGGCCCACAAGACCCTTTGGTGGGTCATTTTCCAATTTTTTTTCAATGAGGATCATTGGGAATAGGGTGCTATGATTGATTGCTTATGAGATCATGTTACACCAAAACCACATGTTTTTTTGTTTTTTTTTATCTTTTATTTTATTTTTACATACACAGAGTTTTACTATGCATTCATGTGGGACTCTGGGTTGTAAAATAAATTTGGGTATTGAACGACACACCAATGGGTGGTGGGTAATGAATACTACCTATGATATCCTTGCTTCATATATGAAACAACATTAAAACAAAGTTGCTTGTACCAAAATTAATATATAGTGTTGGGACAACAAAGGAAATAAGGCTTTATATTCACAATAGATATTTTTATTATGAAATTCACAAATATAATTTATTATATTGAAAACAATAGAGAATTTATAATATTGTGTCTTTTTAAAGTAGAAAACTACAGTATTTAGATAATTGTTGCTGAAGTATGGTGGTTAAGTGATGCCTCACCAATTATATAAGACAAGCAGCTTGTTGTCTTTTCTTTATTATTACTCTTTATTTACTTGACTCTATTCATTTCCAAATTGACATTATGACAAGGAATCCTATTAATTTCCTTTGATAATCATAACATTTTTCAAAACTTATTCATAATTTTAATACTACTAAAACACTATTTACATTACTGGGACTATTCTCCTCATCTTTGTCGCCATATTTATTACAAAGTTTCGGCCATTGTACGCTCCGGCCTTCTTCAGGTGGTTGGAATGTCGAACAGAACCCTTTATTTTGCTCACTGGGGTAGACTGTTCTAGTTCCACGTGCCATGTTTAATGGATGTCAGTTATCAGTTATCTCCTGTTAATTCCCCTCTCCAAGTTCCTCAAGGACACATGGCACAGTGGATAAAGGCATTGGTTAGATCCAGTGACAGGACCCAAAGAGTGAGAGTTCAATACCTGGTTAAGGAAGTGGAGAACTTTTAGAAGGGAATTAACAGGAGATAACTGATAACTGACATCCATTAAACATGGCACGTGGAACTAGAACAGTCTACCCCAGTGAGTGAAATAAAGGGTTCTGTTTGACATTCCAACCACCTGAAGAAGGCCAGAGCATACAATGGCCAAAACGTAATAAATATGGCAGCAAAGATGAGGACAATAGTCTGAATAATGTAAATAATGTACATAATACCTCATCTCAGAAATATAGACAGATACTACTAAAAGCAATAATATTTTTTCAAATTATGTTAGCCATGTTTTATTGCCTGATAAAATTTAAAACATCAGTAGGTCATTAACTTCCTACAGTTACTGCAAAAACAACTAAAAACTTTTAAAAATTTTATATTGTCTTTTTCCTTTTTTTTACATCTTAATTGAAATGTTAGCTAAAAATCATTTCTTGTTTTATCTATTTCAGCCTGATGAGCGCCGGAGTTTCAACCCCGCAGAAATGCTGTCTCCAAGGCAATTAGGCCCACCAAATCCAGCTTACAGTAATCGTGAAACAACTTCAGTGGAAGTTGACAATCCAGAACCAGATTCTGTACACCGAATTTTGGGTCGAGCTTCATCAGCATCCTCCTTCAGTGGCCATAATCCTCCTTGGCCTTCCTCAATATTGGCACCTCATCCTTCTCTTGCTGCTACCACGACTTCTGCATCTGCTACTTCTAAAAATCCTCATCTAATTCCTGGCCAAACAATTGCAAATAATTTCTCAAATACAAATCCAGTGAACGCTTATTTATTGCCAAACATCTCTCAAAACACCCAGCCTCTGCCAAACCCATCTGGCACAAACAAAGGCAGCTTTTCTGATAATTCTTCAAAGGGGTCTACTACAAGCAATCAGGTGCCATTCTTTAGTCCTGTTCCCGGTTCTAAAAAATCTCCTTTTGATTCCATGAGCTCTACTAAGACAGTTCCAAGTCCAATCTGTTCTTCCAAGTTATTTATGGGTATGTCTACCTCCAGCCTGACCACATCTGGAGGTATAACTCCTTTGTACACTAGCTCTGTGAATTCAGTTCGGTCTCTGGCAAACCCAGTAAGCTCTATGAATATAGTTCCTGGTCCAACAAGTTTCTCCAAACCAACCTCAGGCCCCAGCAGTACAACAAGTAATAATACCACAGAATCCTCTAATTTCCCCATGCCGAATAGTGATAAAAATACTCCTTCAACAAGTGGATCAATGCAGCCTTCTCAGTATAGTGCCGTGCATATGGTCAGCTCTTCTGAAAACTATCAGCATCCTATGAGAGATACCAGTCCTTTAAAGACCACACAGACTTCAACTTCTATCAGTTCTGGTCACATGATTGGTAGCTCTGCCCATACAGCTTATGGGGCTAGCAATTCCACACAATCTGGTCATGTGACACCAGGATCCATGCACTCTAGTCATGTGACTATGCACTCTGGTCATGTGACTGGCAGTACTATTTATCCTGGTCATGTGCCTGGTTCTATGCATCCAGGCCACATATCTGGCACAACTGTACAATCAGGTCATGTGTCAGGTACATCCATGCATCCAGGTCAACCTCCTGCATATCCTGGCCAGGTATCTGGCAGTTCCATGTATGCAGGTCATGTCTCTGCTAGTTCTGGATACCCTTCTTCTGTGTCTAGCAGTTCTGTCCACACAGCACAAATTTCTGGTAGTTCTATGCACCATTCTCAAATGTCTGGCAATTATTTAAATACTTCTCAGTCTGGCAGTTCTGTAAAATCAAATTATGCCTCGGGAAATTCTCAAAACCAGAATCAATCTCAAGGGAATTTTATGCACCCAGCTCAGGTTTCTAGCAGTTCTCTGCATGCTGGAATTGTTTCTAACAGTCCCATTCATCCTACCCAGGTGCCCTCAAGTTCTGTACGCCCACCAGGTATAACTTCTGGTCATGGATCTTCTTCCTCTGTTCATCCAGGTCAGATGTCACCCAGTTCTTTGCATGCTGGTCAGGTATCTCCTCAAGCACTTCACCATAATCAGGTGTCTTCAAATCCAGTGCACCCAGGTCAGATGTCACCTAATTCAGTGCACCCTAATCAAGTAGTCTCTGGTTTTATTAGCTCTGCTCAGATACCTGCCAGTTCCATGCACTCAACCCAGGTGCCGGGTAGCTCTGTTCATCATGCACAAGTAAAAGGTAGCCTAATGCACCCAGGCCAAGTGCCTAGTAGTAGTTCCATACACTTAGCTCAGGTGTCAACTAGTTCTTTGCACCTGGCCCAGGTGTCTGCCAGTTCAACGCATCCAGCACCAGTATCTGACAGTTCTACTCACCCTGTACAAGTGTCAGCTAGTCCTGTGCATCCTAGCCAGGTGCCAGTCAATCCAGCACACCCGGCCCAGGTGCCAGTCAGTACTGTACACTCATCCCAAGTCTCAGCCAGTACTGCTGTCTTATCCCAAGTATCAACAAATATTTCACACTCACCACAAGTGTCAGCTAGTTCAGCATCCCCATCTCAAGTCCTGGCTAGCTCTGTACACCAGTCTCCAGTAAATGTTACCTATTCTTCTCAGGTATCTATACATTCACCTATTTTGTCTGCAAGTCTTGCTTCTCAACCACAAGTAACAGCCAGCATTGCACAACTGCCTGAGGTATCAGCTTCCCCTGTCCCAGTCACAACTAATCCTTTAAATCTGGTCCAAGTGGCAGCAAGTTCTACTCATCCCATTCAGATACTACCCAGCTCTGTGAATCCAACCCAGGCAACAGTTAGTTCCATTCATTCAGCTCAGATTTCAGCTGCTTCTCTACCTTCAGGTCAGGTCTCAAGTAGTTCTATGAGTGCTGTTCAGGCCTCAAATGTTTTTCTAAAACCTGCTACATCACAAAGCAGTTTCATGAAGCCTCCTCTTCTAGCAGGAAACTTAACAAATCCAACTCAAGTCTCAGGCAGTCAAATGTCTGGTGGTGGTTCAAATAAAGGATCTGAAAGTTTCCTTAAACCTGGTCAGGTATCTGCTATTAATAATCCTAATCAGGTAAGCAGTAGTTTTATGAATCCAAACCAAATGGCTGGTAGTTCTGTGAATCAAAGTCAAGTACCTGGTAATCTCCCAAATCCAAGTCAGGGATCAAGCAGTTCTCTAAAACCCAGTCAGGTCTCTGGCAATTCTATAAGCTCCAGCCACATTTCTGGAAGCTCTTTAAATGCCAGCCGAGTATCTAACAGTGTTACAAACCCTAACCAAGTGACTGGCAGTCCTCTGAATCAAAGCAGAGTGCCTAATTATTCTGTTAAACCTCACGTAGCACCTGGAGTTTTACCTGATCTTGCTCAGTTGTCTGGCACTCATGTAAACAGTATGAATCTTGAGCAAAGTCCTGCAAATTATATCAAAGGCTCGAGTGAAATGTTAACTAGTTCTCTAAATACAGGTCAAGTGTCAGCCAGTTCCACAAAGCAAGGCCAAGCTGCTGCAAGTTCATCTAAAACAGATGATGTTTCAGCCAGCTCAACACAACCTGAACTAGTCTCTGGAAGCTTTATGAAAAGTAATACAGTTTCTGGAAGCTCTGTGAAGACAAGTCGGATGTATGCAAGTTCTTCAAGAAGCAGAGGCCAACAGCAGGTTTCAGCTAGTTCATCTAACAATGACCATGTGTCTGCAAGCTCAACAAAATCAGATCATGTATCTGCCAGCTCAATGAAGAGTGATCGACTGCTGGCAAGCTCCACTGAGAACTCATGTGTTAGTTCAGCTGTCAGCAGTCAGGTATCTGCCAGTGGAGCTCTGAACCAAGTCTCTGCCAGTGGCATCTCTGCTGCTAGTTCTACCCAGAGCAGCTCAATATCAGCCAGTTCATCTCAGAACAATCAACCAATAGCCAGTTCTACTGAGAACGGTCAAGTATCTGCTAGCTCTACAGAGAACAGCCACGTTTCAGCCAGCAACCAGGTGAGCGCCAGTACTCTGGACAATGACCAAGTAAGTGCTAGTTCCACTGGGCGAAACCAGGTCTCAGCAAGTTCCTCTGCCAACTGTCAGGACACTGTTCAGGTCAGCTCAATGGATAATAGCAGCAATCTTGCAAGCTCTTCAGAAAATGGACAGGTATCAGCCAGTTCTACAGAAACTTGCCAAGTTAGCGCCAGTTCCACAGAGAATAATCAGGCTGCTGTTAGTTCTATGGAAGTGGACCAAGAGGGCAGCTTGGACGGTGCTACCTCATCAGGCAACAATCTTGGTGACAATGCTGTAGACTGTGATGCCTCAGATTCTGCTACAACAACTTATGCAGGCACCGGTAGCGAGCGGTCTAACAGTCAAGGCATTTCAAGTTCTAGTGAATTCCGAAGACCAGCCAATAAATCACCAGCATCAAACAATGATGCTAACTCATTGGAAGGTTCTGAAGCTACTTGCACTGTCAAAGATGCTTCCCAAGTGGCTACATCCAGTCAAGTAATATCAGCGAAAACTGAAACCAACCAGGCGACATCAAGTTCAGCTGTGGCATCTTCAAGCTCTTTGGAAGAAACAAAGCCTTGTTCTGTTTCTGAACCAACTTCTAGCTCAACAGAGAATGTCGCTTTAGTTTCCAATTCAACAGCTGAGGATAATGAAACCTCCATGGAAGTGTGCACTCAAGAGGCAGCTGATTCGGTATCTGCCAGTGTGGAGTCAAATGGTAAAGAACTTGAGAATGGTGATGCTAACCTCAGTGAAACTCCTACTTCCAATGGTTTGGCTCCACCAACATCTGTTACCACATCAGAGAAAAGCACACCCAGCAAGAAGGACCATTATCCAGCTTATGAACATGTGGAATATGATGAATATGAACAGTAAGTAAAAAGGAATTTCTCTTTTTTTGTGAGTGATTTTTGTGATTTTATCTGCTATCCATAGTATAAGACTGACAGGCACTCATATGACGAAACTGTAAATGACAATGTTTATGATAAGTTTTTTGCCTCAAATGATGATGATCATAATAATTTTGAAGGGTTTTAATTATGTATGTAATGAGAAATAAAGATTTTATGGTATCTTAAATCTTTTATTGCTTAATACAGAAAAAAATACTGTATAATGTATGTATGATACTTCTCACCGGTCGGTGTTTGATCAATTCCTACACTGGTCAATACTGCCACTGGTTGTTGAAATGGCCATCCCAGTCTATGCTCTGTTCTGCCATATTATGCTTTTTGATCTCAGAGCTGACAAAGACTGAGTTGTCATCAGCAATCATAGTGTTGGTTTGAACCACAGTTAAGCTGTGTCACAAGAAAAAATAAACAATCTACTTTGTAGACAAAATAAAAGTAGACAGGAAATTCCTTGTGTTAATTTTCTATGTGGTTTATATCTTTCTTTGTACAGTAATATGAACCCTTCCCACTTTGAATTTTATCGTGACACTTTGCTCATTTTACCTAAGCCTGGAAATGAGCTTAAGTTGGGAGTTCACTTTGGTAGCAAGTCACGTGGGATTCAGCAGTGTAGTCATCATCTCCAACTCCAACAGGTCACTTCAGTGTTCTGTTCATATTGATTTTTACTCAAGACCAGCATGAGGATAACAGTATTTGGGGATTCTGGGCTTTCCAACTATTCTTTGTTGTCTGGTTTTGGAAAATTATTATCCTTGCAAATTTGGGAGACCCCTTTTCCATGGTCAGTGGTCATAGGTACTGACCAGCCCTGATAACTCCTTCTGTCTCTTATTTGTGCCTTATCTTGTTGTCATCTTGACAAATTCAATTTTCAAATTCTGTGGACAAACAGGTTGGACTTATCTTTTGCTCATTAATCAGTTTTTCTCCATTTGCTTTCACTTTAAAATTACCAAATTTTATCTCTCAATTAGTGTTTTCATAACTGGCATTTTTAGTAGACGGTCTTTAATTAATTTTTCCTTTTCTGCTTCGTTTCCAAAATTCTTGACTGTCTTTGAGTATATTTTCTCTAGTACTCCCTCCAATCCTTGTGAGTTTACATTTTCCAGATGGCTGTCTTTTTCTCAGCACAATTGATCCAGATTTCACTTGTCATCTGGGTTTTAAGTTACGTTTTAACTTAACCTTTTATTTTCATTCTGTTCCAAGTTCATATTCCAACAAAATTTTTTCATTTACCAGTGTTACAATGTTATTGAAAATAAAGTTTGCAAGTTATGCTAAATGTTGTTGTTATTTAACACCACAATATAATGAATTTTAATTAGAAATATAGATTGTATGTTATCTTAAATGTTATTTAACACTGCCATGAGTTATAATGATTGGTGTGAATGCATCCATAGCAAGAATGAAAGATTTGCTTACATTACTTGTGCGTGTTGCTCAGCAGAACTTTTGCAAATTGTTATGTAATTTTCTCATGAATATTGCATTTTAATGTGAAATCAAAATGTAAGAGTAATTTTATTACATTTCTAACTGCAGTACAGCATTATAATGTGAAGTGTTTCAACTAGAAATATTTACATTGGCAGTTGTTAACTTACTGCAATCCAAGGTGCAAGCATACTAGGCTACTTACTAGTGCTGATACACCAAAGGATTTAAGGTTATCTTTTTGTAATTGTTGTATTAAATGACCCCCTAATTTGGGGGTTAATTTTTTAATATTTAAAGGTCACTTTATATGCAGAAATATATGGTAACTTTTTTTTCTCAGCAATTTTATGACCCTTGACATTATTTTCATTTGTTGCATTTAAAAGTTTTATATTTACTGACTTTAACAAAAATGGTCAAAAAATATAATTTATAATATTTTGCCTGTTTTGTAGAATGGTGAGTCTGTTTTTGATTTTCATTAAAAAAAAAAGACAATTATGAAAATTTGTTCTATTTATTTCATAATATTAAAACAAATTTTTCTTTGTCTTTATGATATTTTTATAGACCCAACCATTTCAGCCAAACCTTTCCTGCTGAAAATTTATTTGAGTATCAATGGCCAGACAAAAGTGGTGAGTGGTATATCCTCCAAGAACAAGTCAGTGAATATCTTGGTGTGAAATCATTCAAACGCAAATATCCAGGTAAGGCATTCAAAATCATTCTGGAAACATCAATATAATGTTTTGTCTTGCAATCTTTTTAATTTATAATTATATAACGGTTTCAAGTACTGTCAATGTACCTTATATTTTAAAATCTACGCATGTATTTATCTATATATGTCATTATTTATTGTAATCTGACTATATTACCTGTATGTTTAGCAGGGCTTGAGATTAGCTTTTTACCATCATTCAGGAAAACAATGTTAATCATCCTCCAAAATTTAATTTCTTTCAATTATTTAGAGTATTCTATTCACAATCAAAATATTTTTGAAGTCTTTATCAAAATATTTTCATTTACAATTATCTGCTTTGTGCTGTGACTAAATTTTAAAGTTTATCATTTTTAAATTCTCCTTTGTATTTTCAATGTAGTTTATGATAAGCAGAACCATATAAATGTTGTTTGTTAATAGTTTGTTCAAATTTTTAATCAAAAATTGTCAGAAAAATATAACATTTTTGCTTTGTTTATTAAAGCAAAATTAGCTTAAAGATCCTGTTTTTCACATTTAGAAATAAATAATACAAATATCTGAATTTTCAAGTCCTACAACCTTCATTTTTTTTATTCAGATTTCATTCATTGGTTTAAAAAGATGTGCCAAATTTTTTTTCTTTGTCTGTGTAGGGTGGGGAGCATATTCCATTTATTATTAGTGAGAAGTAAGACATTTTTATTTTAAGAGATTAGCTACTTTTAGAACCAACATAATAGTCTTTCAAAAAAAATATTGTATAGCCCTAGCATTATCCCCCAAAATACCTAACCAGTCATTCTGTCATCACCCAGATCACATTAATTTTGAGCCCTGATATTTAATCTTGGGTAAATTGAAACCTATTCATGGTGTCATAATTTTAGTTTCTGTCTGTGGGTGGTTGTGTATGATACTTATGCTTAATAACTGCAATTACTAAAATGTTAACAATAATGAAGATTTATTTTATATTTCTATAATTTAGGGTAGTAGTTCCCAAACTTTTTTTTCTTTGGGCCACATTTTCTGAATGAAAATTTATTTGCACCTCACCAAATTATATGTGATATAAAGTACATTTAAAAATAAAAAAAGAGAGAGAGGGTTAAAAGGAGATAATGTTCTGACTTCAAAATCATGGTTATCATTGATAACTCTCTCCTCCAATTTGCAGACCCTATTTACTATATTCTTAATGCTTGATAATACAAAAATATCACAATGATAAAATCAGTCAATAACTATTTATACTGGGACTCATGCATGCAATTACAAGTAATCCATAATAATATTTTAAATTTTGAGGTCATATTTATTTTTGGCATATGAATTTTTTTTAAACTGTTTCTAAATGTTTGATTTTCTTTCAATCATTCCATCTCACCTGCTTTCCTCTTTCACTACACCTATCAGGTGCTCCACACCATTTGGGAACCACTGAGTTGGGGTGATGATTTTCAGAGTTAAGACTCATGAATATTTATTTTGTAATAAATTTGTCATAAAACAATGTTACCATAATTTTCCTATTTTAATAAAAGAAATGTTACTTTTTTTCTTTTAAAGATCTCAAAAGACGATCAGCTGAAATGAAAGAAAAAGAATTTTTACGAGAAAGAGGTGTTGTAACAGAAACTCAGTGTGATCTTGGTAAGGAAAAAACAAGTTTTAAAATTAAATCTTTCACTCTATTGTATAGATATTTAATCTAACAACTTATTAGGTGAACTTATTGCTTCTATACTATTTAATTTAAGTGAGATGCTGTTATCTTTAGGTGATGAGTTCTTGCGGATAAATAGAATTGGTTTTTAAGTTGTATACACTGAGATATCTGATATATTTACATTGTTTATATTTGGACTATTCTTCCCATCTTTGTTGTTATCACAATGTTTCAGTCGTTTTACCTTCTGGCCTTCCTCAGGTATATATTGATCTGGGTAACCTACAGGGAATTTTGAACTGAACCCTTTATTTAATGATAACTTCTCATCCCAGAAATTCAGACAAAAATATCTGTCTATATTTCTGAGAAGAGGTATTGTAGCTATTTACATTGTTTGAACTGTTGTCCTCATCTTTATTACCATATTCACAATGTTTCAGCGATTGTATACTTCAACCTTTTTTGGGTGATATACATTGGATTACTTCTACCAACAGTTTTATCCATTGGACCATGTGTCCTTGGATAAAATTGTTGGTAGAAGTAATCCAAAATGTGACTTGTGTCCAAGAGTTGGACACAACAGAGGTGAACGAAAACTTGCAGAGTTGAGTTACTAAAGGGAATTATCTGAAACTGAGATATTCAGAAAAGGCATGGCACTTGAAATTAGAACTATCTACCCCCATGGACTAAATAAAAGGTTCAGTTTGAAATTTTAATGTATATCACCTGAAGAAGGTGGAGCATACAACAGCCAAAATGTCACCAATATGGCAATAAAGATGAGGGCAACAGTCCAAACAGTGTAAATAGGCTATATCGGATATTTTTATCTAAGATAAACCTCACATTAAATCTTCGAATACTTCACATTCACTACTTGTGACTATGCAGTATCTGCTGGTTAGTTGCTTGAGCCTACCAAAAAAGGCATGCAATTAATTCAATCTACAAATTAAAAAAAAAAACATATTGCAACTCACTTTTATCACAACATACTTTGCCTATACCCCAACACTCACTAGTTCTATGAAATGATGATTTAAGAAAATCAAAAGCTTGGAACATATTTCTCCTACTTTTCTTGCAAAATGAACTTTGGACAATTTCTGACAGAATTTCCTCCTTTTCTGATAAGGATTACTCATACTTTGGAAAAGTTAATCATTAAAATTAATTGACACAAAATGTCTGTCTTTTTTAATAATATTTGCCTTAAAGGACATTTGCTGTCTAAATAGACAAAAATTATTAATTATGCATGATTTAATGAAGTCAGTTTTTGTTTACAATTATTACTCTACAAAACAATGTCACATATTTATTGTTAGTCACTTTAATGTTATGATTGATTTTAAGCATTTTGCACGTTATGTTTTTCTAATAAGTTTAAAAAAAATAATCTTAAATCAGGAAATGAGATGATATACACAATATCAGGAAAAATTAAAAGAAACTGGATTCTTGTTTCCTATGTTTTTTAGAAATATACTGGGTATGACAATAAACTACATCTGGCAGCAAGGCCTCTGATTGTGTGGTTTTGAGGAGCATGGAACCACATCTTAATTGCTGTTGTTCCCAGGTCCACTCTGACCTAGGCTGGTAGCACATAAACTCAGGTCAAAACACCATGAAAGTATAAAAATACATTTTTATAGTAAAAATACCAGCAATAAGTTTTCATAGTTAAAAAAAATTACCAGCAATACATTTTTTGTAAAAGAAATTACTAGTGCTCTCAAAAAAAATTACGTTTGGGCATTAATGAACCCATAAGGAGTTAAGATGCCACTAAACAAACAACTGTTCTTAGAAATATTATTTAAACCAACCTGCACATCTCGGTTGTTATAGCCACATTTCAGCCTTCTTTATTTGTCTGTTTTTGTTCTTGGTAACCTTCGAATTTTGAAATGAACCCTTTATTCAATCTACAGAGGTTGATCATTCTTATTCAGTTTTCCATGTTTAGGAAAAATAACTCATATCGGTTAATCCTCACCAGTCTTATTTACCTTTGTTCTCCTTGTCTGTTTTTTCCACTGAACTACAGTATGCAACTTTTCAGCAATACCAAACCCAGAGATTGAACTCACAAAAACCAGGGAGCCAGAAATGTTTTAACTGATACTTTAATCTATGTCTTGTGAATAATCCAGTGGTAAAATTTGGGACTCATAAACCTAATGTCTATGTTCAAACGGTGAAATTGAATGTGTGTCCTATCTTAATCAGAAGCCATTTTCCACTGACATAAAAAAGAAAGATTATATTGAATCAATTGCTTGGTCTGCTGCTAGGAAAGTTGGTTCACTGTGACACACTAGACAATTTTTCTTACTATAATTTATCTTAGACATTTATAAATCTACCATTCATCCATGTGTTGAATATTATTGTTCACATCTGATTTGATGCTTCTGCTATGTATTTGGAGATTCTTGATAAAATCCAAAGAAGAATCTGCAATGTTATCAGTCCTGATCTGCAATCTCAACTTCACTCACTTTCTCACCACCATAACATAGCTTCCCTGTATTTTTACGGTAATTGTTTTAATGAGCTTTCCTCTTCTGTACATCTACTTTTAAAAATTTAAGAATTGTACTAAATAGGTCTCATCATTTTGCAGTTGAAATGGCTAGATGTAATTGTAAGTTCTATGTTAACAGTTTCTTCTATCACACTTCTCAATTGTGGAACTCTCTTTCCAGCCAACTTTGATCCTCAAAAATTTAAATGCAATGTCAATCGTTATCTTTTATCTTCTTAATTTCTGTTCTTTTATTGTTTCCTCTCAATAATGTTTTTCTTTTTTTTGTATTCTTTCACACTCAGTAATTTCTTATATCTTAGTGGCTTTATTGTCTTACTTGGGGTAAAATGATTAAAAAATGTGGGTGTTGCACTTCAAGAATTATTAAATAACCTGAAAAAAGATTTAAGATTTTCATTAAAGCCAATTTTATGTTACTATCTAGAATCGTTTTTTTAATCATTAATTTTCTCTTATTGGGACTTTATTCTCAATTTATGTTTTAACTCTTCTTCTCTTGCAGGCCTGTCTGCTTTACGGTGTGAAGAAGTTTATGATTTGATGCTCAGAGATTACCCAGAAAAATATCAGGTGACTTTTCTTACTTTTTTTTTTCCCCCTAAATTTCACAAAAGAATAAAAGCTTAAATTTTTATAAAACAATATTTATTTTAAAAGAATCAGGCTGGAACAATGAATTAATGATTATATAAGATAAAATAACTTGAGTTTCGTATATCAAAATGATATATTACAAGAATGGTTATAAAAATTGATATACTAAAAGGAAAATCTGTCTATATTTTTGAGATGAGGTATTATTTGGACCGTTACCATTGTCCTCATCTTTGTTGTCATGTTCATGACATTTGGACAAAATAAAGGGTTCAGTTTGAAATTCCAAACACCTGAAGAAGGCTGGAGCGTACAACGGCCGAAACGTCGTAAATATGACAACAAAGATGAAGCAACAGTTCAAACAATGTAAATAGTGTAAAAGGAAAATGTTAATAAAAATAAAACAGAAAAATTAACATATGGAAAGAAAAGTCGCTATTCATAAAATTAATGAGAAACTATTTAAATGAAGAAAAATATAAAAGTTTTACAATTTTTAGCACTGTCCTTTTGATTTATTCATTTTCCATGACTTTCTTTTCTTTTTTTTTCATCAGGAATATTCTGCTGTACTTCATGAACGGGAACGCCAAATAATCAATGAGAAACACAAAGGCTATGAAGCAGTAAGTTATCTCCCCTTTCTCATTAGTTTTTAATTTTGAACAAATATTCTGAGATACTAAGGCAGCTGGTGAAAAGCTTTATAAAAATTACTTTATAATCAAAATATACAAAAGTAATAAACTTTATTTAAAAAAGTAAAGACAGTTTCTTACTTTCTCTTGCATATGCGCTTTTTATTCTTTTTAACTTATAAGTTGAACTTTAAGACCTCAAATATTTACTGCCACTAAGTAGAGTTTTAATCTATGATTGAAATGAAAGAAAATCTACATTTTAATCCCAAGTTCATATTAGTGATCTTTGTTAAATTTTAAATAACTTTGACTTGCAAAATGGGAGAGATTGGGGGGAAAAATGATAAATACAAATACTAAAAATATAAATTTTCCTGCCAATCAGTTAATAAATTCAGCCCCATTTATTCTAGAACATTTATGTTAACAACACAAGATACCATGATTAAGTTAGCATTTACAAATTTCGACATCTGTCCAGAATAATAATAATAATAATTGTTCATTTTTGTTTTAAAATTTTCAAAAGAAAAAAGACTAGATATTTTAATAAGTAACAAAAGAACATATTTATCTTTTGGTTACGTATCTTGATAATAATAAAATGATTCTAATCGGTATCAACAACCACGAAAAATGGTCATATTTTTCATTAAAATTATCGAATATATTTGATTTTACTTTTATGTTATCATGTTTTTGCAAGAATCACTTGGCAAGTTTATCAAGAGACAATTGATAGAATATTCTAAGAAACATTGTTTTTGCTTATCTGCTTTAAGTGCTCTTTGTGTGTAGTAAGATTGTTATTTATGTTTTGAAAGCTGATAAAAGCTTACCTTTGATTTTTTTCAATAATTTTTTTTTATATTTACCTCCCCTGGGCAATTTAGTGTCAAATCTGTGCTGTTAAAGGGGGAAATTCTTGTTGTCTTGCTTTGATGTCTCTTTGCCTTTTTCTATTATGAAAGGTGTTGAAAAATTCTCAGCTCAACCAAAAAAAGAAAAAAAAAACTTTTCCAAAAATAGCTGATGTTTGGACATTTGGTCAAATGTTGGGAAGCATTGTGGGCCAAGAACTTTACAACGCTCTTTCATATTTGTAAGCATGAATCTCGATAGTCCAATATTTCAAACAGAACCTCAAATCTTTGCTTGCCTTATCCACACAAGTAAACTTGAACTACTTCAAGTAAAAAATATAGTACATATGTCACTCATTTATTTAGTATCAAATTAACAGAAATGAACACCAGTTATTTGTGATTATTCCTTTGTGAATATACTTCCATATAATAGACGATTATGTCTATATTTTAGAAATACTAAATGTGAATTTATTTAACCAGTTTTTACAATGATTTTGCCTTCATTTCAAAAACATTTCAATTTTTCTTAAATATCATGTCAAGATGCAGGCAGTTATGGCTGTCCACAGATTCCTTTTTATTATCTGTAAATTGCCAAGACTTTTAAGAAAAGATAGTGGGATAGTATTTCATTGCCTTCTCTACAGTTTTGAATTCAGAGTTTTTCTTCTAAACTGGCTAGAGAATCCATTCTACTCTACTATTTAACCCATAACTGACCTAAGTAAATTCACACACACACACACAGTTCAAATTCTAGTTTTATTTTCTTAATATTTAAACATTTTTTCTATTACTGAAAATATACTTTTTATACAGTTTATGGAAAATAATATAAAATAATAAAGATCAGTATTAACATTTATCACTGTTTGTAATTTCATTTGCTGTACAAAAAGTTTATCCTGCCACTGAAGGTGACTCTGATCCTTGAACAATAGGTGTTTGAATTTCATAGTTGTGTTGTCATATCCTGCTATGGCAACAGAAATTAACTTTGAGTGAAATTAACAGTAAGGATACTGCAATTGAAATTACTTGCAGTGGAAAGGGAAGTAATATTAATAAGGCAGAGTTCTTAGGGTTAAATATTATTCAAACAAGTTTTATAGTATTCCAGAGTTCATGCCTCTATTTCATTACCTTTGGGTGAATGAGTATATGGTTTCATGCCAGACTTAGATTAAAAATGGCTCCTTAAAATGCCCCTTTCAGTTATTACCAACTTTACAGAAATTGTGTTCATAGATTATCGATGGAACTTTAGATTGTATAATTCTTATATAAGATGAAAACTAAATTGTTAGCATGGTATGAAATATTTTAAATCATCTTAATTCTCCCAAATTTTTATAAAAGAAACATTTTATCAATCAGTAAAAAAATAAAAAGAAACATTTTTAGTTCTTTTGTTTGCTCTTTCTCTAATCTTTTTTTCCTTTCATTGTCCTTTGTCATATGTGATAACTTACTGGCCGATGTGTTTGTATACGATTTCTTTGAGAATTTTTCTTGAAGGTTGGACAAGCTCAGACAACGGAGATGAATCCCCTGAAACATTATGGAATAGAGATTGTAAGATTTCTTTTGTCCCCTTCCCACCTGTCAAGCACCTTTCAGACACCTGAAAATTTCAGATCTTCTACTTCAATAAACAACTGAACAATACTGAACCACAAATTCCTTGTCATCTTTCCCTTGGTGTGTGCACTTGAGCAAAAACATCTCTTGTTAAATATTTAATTTGATTCATTCTAAACCTTCTACATTTCTGTGCTATTATCCTTAATTCTTTCTTTCTTTTTTAATTTTACTCTCTTTAACAAATATACTCTTTTAAATAATGTTTCATGTCACCTTCATAAATTATATTTCAAATTAAAAGTGGCCAATAACTGCTTAACTAGTTTTTTTTTTCTAAATTATACCTCTAATTTATAATTACAGTCAGTACCTGCCAACATAAAAAATGAATCCATATCTTTATCAGACTTTCACTTAACTATATGCCAAAACTCAACAAAATTGGGTTATATCATTGCATTATTAACCATCTCAGTTATAGCAGTCTTGACTACTATAGTCTTTTATAAGAAATATTTTTTATTCCTTCTCCTCCTTAGTACCATTAGACTTTCTTGTGGATTATAGGGCCACAGCTTCACCACACCAGGTGTTGCTGCTGTGGTTTTTGCAGCAACTAGGTTTTTATGGGAGGAACAGGTTTTGAATTCAAAGTTGGCCTTCTTCTAGACTGGTTGCTGACCAAGTCTAGAGAACCCAGTCTGTTCCACTATTTAACCCATAGCTGGAGGGAGAAAAGATGGATTCATACTTTACCCAAGGGTTATTTGTACAAAAGTGAAGGCAATGAGCTTGGTTAGAATTTGAACTCTGTACACCATTTCTATTTTTCTCACCAATAACCACCACACTATGCACACATTCTCTCTTCATCTGTTGACAAATAAAAATTATATGTACCCCGTGTATAAATGAATAACCATTAAAGTTGTTGATAGCAAATGTTTCTTGATAGAAGAAAATAATTCCCTGAATCTGTCCTCATTTGCCTAACCCCCAATAACTTGGTATCTGCTTGATGTTTTTTTTTTTTGTTTGTTTTTTTTTACTTTCTTCTTTGCTGTGTTCTTTCTCCTTCCTGTGGTTGTGGAATCATTCCAAATTTCCTTTGCAATAATTTTCTTTTGTGTGCCTTTAACACTTGCAATGTTTTATTACAGATTTAAAAATGATTTGAAAATCAATTTTTACATTCAGTTTGTTTCTCTTTTAAATGCACGATTTAAAATAATTGTTCCCATTCTCTGTACTGATCTCATAATTAATATTTTAGTTGCTAATCTCTACAAGATTGAATCCAAACATTTCTATCTCTACAAATATGAGCTATTCAATATCAGTTCCTAATATTTGGGTATTGTTGAACAGGCAGAAACATCATATAATTCAAGTCAGTTTAAAATCTGTTCCAAGATAAAACTTCTAGTAAGTTAAGTCTTACATTATCAATAATAATCCTGTAATGATTTTTTTTTTTTTTAATGGAAATATTATTTTTTAGAGTTTCTTGATTTAAGCATATTTTCTCTATTTGACAAACTTTGATTCTTTCAGTATTTCCACTTGCATTTTAACCTGTGTTAGCCTCTGTTAGTTGCTTTTAGGCTCTTAAATGCTAAGAAAGGCCTGTTACAGTTGATTTATTACAAAATCCTATTCTCAGCTCTTATCCTTCCACCAGTTGTTTATTCTCACCTTGGTGCTAAACTTGAGACTGAGAACCATGATTTAACAACTTCTGCTTGCTTGACTGTGGCTGTTTTGACTGACAAAAAACTACTTGTTTCTGTTGAAGCTCTTATATACTCTTTGATGTGTTCCATGCTACTGGAAGAGCAGGCACCTGGATAAACTTGAGGCTGCTCTATGGAGTGGAGCATGTTATATTCAACTTCAATTTTCACAGTATCAGCTGGTAATAAAACTTTCTCTATGTTTGTCACAGCAGCCTTCAGTCTCCGACCAACATGGCCTTACTGGCTATCTCTGTCTTTGTTGGTCTCTTGCTACCTACTTGTCCACAAGGTTCTCTACAATATCACTGAGCTTAACGTGAACAATGAGTACACTGGAAGCTTTCAGTTTTTGATTCATGCTGGTCTTGATATTCCAAAGGAACAATTATGCAACACAAATGTGATGACATTTCAAACAAACTCCAGCAGAGAAGGCTCTACCTCTGTCAACTACTGGCACTCACCTCAATGTGTATATACATCAATATTACAATATTACCTTGCATCTTAGTTTTTGATTGTGTGTTGCACCATTGTTGCTGCAGAGACACTGATCAACCAATTTAGCCTACATCAATTCATTTATCAAAATTTTTGAGATGGCAATTATCATTATATATTTTGCTATTCAAACACCTGAAGAAGGTTGGAGGATATAACTGCCAAAATGAACATGTTATGACTGCTGGAGCCTATTACGATTATTAAATTTGTCTCCACTAATAGTAATAAGATAAGAGTAGTTATTTTTTAAATAATGTATGTTCTTTGCATCCATTTCAAACAGCTATTGTTT